AAGTGGATCGCTCAAGCCAGCCGTGCCCAATCTAGTTAGGTGCGCGTTCACATGAGAGGGGTGGTATTTGGAGCATTCGACCAATCACAAACATGGAGAGGCGTACTGACAGCGCAGCGTCATACTTCCTGAACTATAATATTAGTCAAATATGAAGAAGTTAAATTTTAAACATCCATGACTTAAACAGTTTATCCAGGATAAAAGCCACATAGCTGCACCTGCAAGGTCAATACAGCTGGTAAAAGAAAGTGTTTGAATACGTACATTAACAGGTTTATGATATCACTGCCCCGTCTAAGTGTCAACATCACTTTGCCAAAGGTATATTTTATGTTATAGAAGGTTCAAATCTCTTAAACTTTCAACTAAAACTATTTTTTTTTTAAAACCCATTGACCAGTAGTGCAAGAATGCTCACTAGGTTTCAGGGTTGAGGAGTCTCTCCTGCAGGATTTTACAGAGGCACCTCTCACAAAGTACATAACATTTTGACTGATGACAGTCTAAACTCTAATATCCCACCACCTCTTTAATTTCCTTCATGCTTGTCAGAGAGTTTACAATAACTCATTAAATATTCAAGATACCTTGGCTCCATGCGTTTCATACATCATTGTAGTTGATATCATTGATCCAATAAAGGACATCCTTTGCTGTTGACATGACTGCAAACACTGCAGCTGTACTCAACATCCTGGGCATCTGGCAAAACAACACACACACACACACACACACACACACACACACACACACACACACACACACACACACACACACACACACACACACACACTTAATGCACACACCCACACGCCCATGAAGGTGGCTGGACTGAAGTACCCAGCCAATTTTGGTCACTGTCAGCAGATGAATTATTGGGGAATTAGTTAGATTTAGGTTTATGGTTCGGCCTTAGCTGGCCTGTGCTGGTTTACTACAACTTCCCTTGTGTTGTGTCCTTGACTTAGTTCTCAAAGTATTCTTCTACCATGTACAGTTATTTTCAGCCTTAGCAAGAATACATTTCTAAAGCTCTGCCTCAAAAACTTATTTTCCATCCTCTCTTCCCGTTGTCATCATGTGTATCCACAGCTGAGCGCTTCAGGTCTTCTGGGGAACACCGAACTGAGTGTTGGCGCAGCTCTCGCTTGTTTTTTGGCGCAGGAAGGGGCCGACATCAACTACGCCAACCACAAGGGAAAGAGTCCCCTGGACCTGGTGGCAGACAGCACCATGATGCAGCTCATCAAGAGCTTCTCTGAGAAACACAGGTACACGTCAGGAAGAGAAGTGCTCACACTCACAATGCCTTTGGATATCATTACTGAATACACTGGATTATAACCAGAGTAGGGTTCGATTGTACCAACACCTTTTTAGAAGTACTGTATTATTAATTCAAAGTAAGGCAGAAATCAGATTTTTGCAGAAATAGTTTGTTTTGTGGGAAAAGAAGCCTGTATTCATCTTCAAAGACAGAATGAGCTCATAAACATAGTGAAGTTAAGATAAATCTGTATGTGTTGTTATAGCTGTGTGTTGTCTGTCAGGTTGCAGCGTATGCAGGCCATCACATGTGGTCAGGGTCTGAGCAGCGCCAGCCTGCGGCGGGTCCACACCACGCCCAACACCATGACCAACCTGGTTCTTCCCAACCTGCCGGGGCCCAGTGAATGCCTCATCTGCTCCGAGCTGTCTCTGCTGGTTCTCTTCTGCCCCTGCCAGCACAGCGTGGCCTGTGAAGGTGGGTTACGTTAATGGCAGCAGGGCCGCGGCTATCAATAGGCAGATAACTGACTTGTGTGTTCAAAGAATACTGAATGGCTTTCCTTAAGAAAACTTTTTATAAATATTATTTTCTGCTTTGCTGTCTATCTTGGATGTTAAATAATGTGGTGCTTTACGTGTTGTAATTTATTTTTATCTCCTGCTGACCTGCATCTTCTCCAAACAGAGTGCGCCCATCGAATGAAGAAATGCATCAAATGCCAAGTCACAATCACCAAGAAAATTAGACAAGGTAATGAGAATCTTGTCTCCTCTAACCATCCTCTTTGATCTTAGATGTGTAAGATAATAAAAGTTGAATGAAATTATGGAAGATCTTTTGTCAACACAGTAAAAGTCTTCTTTATATACTCCTATTCTGGACAAAAATATTCTATATTATTCCTTGGCTTACAGCATTGTTTTGAATGATGTAAATTATTATCTGCATGTTCTGTATTGTTATTTATGAACACAGTTTTAATGCGGACATCTCAGAGAAGACTTCAAAAATCTTTGTGATAGCCTTGATCACCAGTCGTCAGTGAGAGGCAACTTTGGATGGTAGATTAAAGCAGCTGTGTCGAGGACGAGCCACCAATAAAATTGTCTGGCATTTTGAGTCATACTAGACCCATGGTCCGGTGCTGTTATATGTGACCTTGTTATCTTTGAAGCAGTCGCACAGTGACACAACGGGACAGCCTGCACAGATTTATAAATGTAACTTCTTTTGGAAAACAATGACATCACAATTTATTTAGCCAATGCTCTTATCCAAAGCAACTTATAATAGGTGCATCTACTGTAACAGTGATGATACAAATACAAAGTACATTAGGATTCAATGAGTCAAACCATTGTATGTGCTACTGCACTGGCTTTAAAAGCCCAAACCCTAGCCAAAAGTGCTTTAAACTGAAGTGAGAATTATTTTTGATTCATTATTGGCCAAGGTGCAGTCTGAACAGGTTGTTTTTTCAGTATCTAATGGAAGATGTGTTACCTTTCTGCAGTCCTGATATCAATGTTCCCCAATTTTAAAGCCAGGATACATGTACAGTAGCTAACAGGCGTGTTTTTTCAAAATGCACAATAACCTACAGTTATTTTCCAAATCTGTAAACTTCATCGCTCTGCCATCCCCCATATTGACCCCCCCTCTTCCCCCACAGACCAAACGGAGGTGGGCTGCAGCCCCGGCACGGAGAACTCGGAGCAGCACAACCTGCTGGAGCAGCTGCAGTCCCGCTACCGGCAGATGGAGGAGCGCATCACCTGCCCCATCTGCATCGACAACCACATCAAGCTGGTCTTCCAGTGCGGACACGCCTCCTGCATCGACTGCAGTGCCGCGCTCAAGACCTGCCCCATCTGCCGGCAGACCATCCGCGAGCGCATCCAGCTGTTCGTCTGAGTGACCAACCACAGAGGGGAGAGAGTGGGAAACCAGTGACCTGTGTCTGCTTGTCGCACCCTCCTGCTCATCCCTCTCTCCCCCCCCCCGATTGAACACTTACTCAGCCTGTAGTTTGCTTCTCCATAAGAGACACTGCTGAGAGTCCGTTCTTTGTTACATTCTGAGTAGTTTCCCTATCAGATAATTTTTCGGCGTCAGAACTGATTGTTCCGCCTAAACCCGACGGGAAGCAGACGTTGTGAGGCCGTGTTGCCAATTTTCTGTACTTTAATTGGTAGCCATGAGAAAAATGTCCCCCCCCTCCCCCTCCTTTACCTCTTCTTTTCCCTGCCCTGTCTCTACCTCCAGTAATCTATCCTATCTTTGCTGCTTTAAGTGGATGTCTGTTACCCATCATCCTCTCTGGCTGTCTGGCCTCCCTTTTGTTTACAAGGCTGCGCTGACTCAGTCCCCGTCTCCTCGTGAATTATGTTTGCTCTCATTTGTACCATCTCTTAATAATCAGTGTTAGTCTCTGCAGAGGGAGTTGGTATAACTAAAGGCTCTCTATATAGTCCTCCGACCACTCGCCTGTATGCAAGGGGAAATACACACTATATATGCATGAATATATGCATATTGTAAAGCTGAAAATGACCGTGTCGTCATGGGTGATTTGTCGTCGTCGTAGCTTTTATTTCTCTCTGGTTACATTTGTGTTTTTTAATGTACCGATCAGTACAGGCTTTTATTTATGTGTGAAAGGTGGTATTTCTTAGTAATGTCTTTTTCTTTTCAGTCGGTGTTTGCTTGGCAACATTTTTCCTTTTTTTGGGTTTCTACTGAACTTCACCCCAAGCCTATGTCCTCTACTCAGGGTATCAAATCATTGAAAGCACTTGTGATATCCATAACAGGTCAAAGAGCCCCCCCCACTCCCAATCCCCCACACACATTGTTACAGAGCTGCAGTGTACCAGATCATTTCAGTGGAAGGTCACTGAAAGAAAAATGTCATTAATAAAACCAACAAAGTTGTGCATAGTGATTCCAATTCACTAAAGCATCAGTTTATTTATCATTAGTAAAATGAATGTTTGCAGAAAGGCAACAATTGTCTTCAAATAGAAAAGAAAGTTCCTGAAGCTTCCCGGTCAGCTTTGAAGCATTGTGTTAGTGTCGTAGTGAGCAGCCAGCAGCAGTGATTAGTTATTTATCCCTGACATGTAAGAATTAGAATCCGACGACGGGCAGAAACGTGATATTGTTGTGTTGCACCTCGAGTTCCCCGTCTCCCCTCCGCAAGGAGTCATTTGAGCAGAAACCCTCTCCTCTGGAGTTTTGGATTGTACATCACCTTCATCCTTTCTAATGTTTTGGTGTGTTTTCTTGAAGGGCTTATGCATATAAGAAAAAAAAAAACGTATCTATTTTAATCGTTATTTAATTTTAATTTTCTATAATAAACATCAGGAGACAGGACGTTTTTTTGTCTTCATTAGATCCCTCATTTTGGGAGAGCCAATGTTAAAGATGTACATTTGAATGTCGGGGAAGAAAAATGTATCCTGTCTAACTCTGCCTTTTTTATGTGTAAAGAAAAAAGAAGGAGCCGGAGAGACGCGTTTACCGCAAATTTTACTTTGAGGAAAGAACTTTTACATCTGTGCCAAATCGCATGAGGATGTGCATGGGCATGCACGCCCAAATTTATCTAGACGCACTATGCTAAATGCCTCCGAACTCAAGGGAGGGTTCAATTATTCCAGCAGTGTGAAGTAAACCTAAGGCAAACAATAATATTTAATTTAATTCAAAATGAAAAGTGTTGCTCACTGATGTTAGAGCTAACGGTGTTAGCATCCTGACTATAGCCGTCATGACGAGTGATGCTCACTTCCAAAATGTTACCAGTCCCATATTGTTTGGAGCTTTCTACAAGTATATATATTTATATTTTGTGAGACATTACCAATCAAAGGGACAAGTTTTTCGTAAAGGAAATTGCGACATTTTAAGGATTGTCCATTGGTGTTCCAAGTTGATGGGTTTACACGCAAAGGCAATAATGTTTTAGAGAAGCAGTGATGTTTGAGTTCTTTATTTTTCTCCCCTTAAGGAGGTCGCTGTGAGGGCGGGAAACTATTTCTGTATAAAACACTATCAAATGTTACTATTAGTGTTTGTACAGTTCAGCTCTTGGAGTTCTGATGTTGGCCTTACTGTCCGTTCCTCCTCTGTTGATGTTTTTTCAGTTGTATTCTGTACAAAAATATTTTGCAATAAATATGGAACTGTTTTCTAAGGACTTCGTGTTGATGACATGTTTTTATAATTATTTAGCTTTTTACAGGATGTTCGCAAGTGACATTTTGAAAGTGACTCAAATGTAGTACCATTGCAGATCAAATCTTCGGGACCTGAGCTTTACTTTTATTGCTCTTAAACTCTTCCTTGAAAATGTTTGAGTTTTAGACTTTTTTTTCTGTCATGTGGCGTGAATCAGATGTAGAGAGATTTTAGATCTTGAAATACAAATCTGCCGATATATATTTAAAAAACCAAGAAATGTTTTAGATCTTTATTTTATTGACAGGGAAAATATATTTTAAGTCTCCTAAGAAGTGTCCTGTGGCATGTGATGATTACTATAAATAATAAATTAAAACCATTACACTTTGCTCTATCGGGAGTTGGGGAAAGAAAGACACACTTTCTGAATTCCCAGAAGCTAGAATATGCATGTAAAAAGATTAACTTGAATTTCAAACAAGTGCATTATTAAAATATGTCACATTCCCCCCTTCCCCTGAGTTCAGGTAAACAAGGTGAACAGGTTGTGTATGCTGCCTGGTCTCTGCACGTCTCCAGTTAAATGTGCTGTGTGCCACTTCTTAGTCTTAATTGTCTTACAGCTCACATGGCTTTATGACTCAGCGCTTTACCAATGCCGTCCTCTCTGAAGAGACAGCATGACAGATTTGAGCAGGGGGTGTCCCATAGTGCCACTACAATCTCTATCAACAGATTGTGCTTTATAAGTTTGCTTTATATGTCAATGTTTTTCCAAGGTAAAAGGTCATTTCAGTATAGATTAGACCTCATTCCTTGTATAAAAATAAATATTAAAAAACACAAGTATGCAGATTTAATGAGTTTACACTTTTCACTATCGTTATAAGCAATTTTCAGTTTTTATAGTCCAATATAAGCCTCTAATCATTAAATGTTACATAATCATGCACAATAATCCATTATCATTGTCTTAAAGTCCTTTTCATTATACAATGTCACTGTTCTAAATGCATCCCCTTTTAGTGGCATTTGTATTCTGACTTTGTAATGGAAGTATTTATTTTAATACTTACAACAATTTCACAAAGAGTTAAATCAGCTCCTTTAAAAAAAAAAAAGAAGATATTTCTAAACTTAACAAAAGTGATGTTGGCAGGTAAAACAGTCCTTTATTAAATCCACTTCGTGTGTCAGAGTAGCAGAGCTTGCATTGAAAGGATGTGATGAGAGCACCATCTAGTGGTTTAATGAAAAAAAAGTGATAAACGTGATTTCCTGTTGTGTTGACTTGCAAAAAACACAATGATGGGAAGATTTTTTTGTTATGAAGGGTTGTCCATTTTGTAGCATAATTATGACATTATGATTTATATTTATACTTGTTTCTTAAGTGCAATGTAAAGTGAGTAACAACAGCTCCTCAGTCTCAGGTATCCTACAGGGGGCGTACTGGCTCACCAATCTGCTCTGTGAATGTGTGCTGAGGCTGCCTCATTTTCCTTGTACACAGGTACCAACATTTACTGCCCTCCTGCTCATTGCTTTCACATTAAGACTGACAGGCTTCTGATCATTTCACCGATTCATCTCACATGCAGAACACACCCTTAGCACTTAAAGTGAAAAAGCCAGATTAGGAAGACGTGTTTCACTGTAGATGATTCACACATAATAACATTTAAAAAGTCATTTAGAAACCTTTTGGAAATGTAGGGAAATTTGCATAGGCTAGACCTTTTTTTTCCTGATGAACACTACTCTCTTTAAGTTAAATATGAAGCTACATCCAGAAGCAAGTGAGCTTAGTTTAGGCATCTTTTATGCACAATAAAAAACACAATCTCCCCTAAAACCACAACCTGTCATTTCAGGTTTCACACAGATAAAAACAAACATTTAACCAGCTGGCTTTATATCTTGAATGTATGAACTTTCAGACAGCAGGCTAGCTTTTTGTTTGGTTTACAACATTGTTTAAAGAACCAGAGGACGGTTAGTTTAGGTTAGACCAGAGCCCTATAATCTATACGGCGCTCGGTTAGACTAAGCTAACTTATCTTTTTCTCTGCACTGTTTTACACTCATATTTTTAGGAGGATAAAAGATAATTATGTACATTTTAGGATGCTAATTTGTCATTTTCATGGACTAAGCTAGGCTAGCTGTTTCCCCCTGCTTCTAGCTAAACTAAGCTCGGTTGATTATGGCTTAGCATCTATTGTGTGGACATGGTTAAAAAGTAGCTCACTTATTCATAATTCTCTCCATGGTTACACAAACATTCATGAGAAACAAATACACGTTTTGTTTAAAACATCATGTTCTGATAACGTTAACAAATGCAGTACTATAGCTATTGTTTCTATGACTCCATTGGTTCCTGACTCAACAGGGAGCAAATAACTTCCTTAATCCTATAAGACATTGAATATTGAGAGCCATATTTAAAGCTTTTCTGAATGAGTTAACTGTCCGCTGGTGTTTTGTCACTTGTTCCTGTTTTTCTTTCAGAGAAAAAACTCCAACATAGTTTTTAATTTGATTTCTGTGTATTGTCTTAAGGTAATAAGGGGAAATCATTAATCTATAGATTTACCATTTTCCATCTAGGCCTACTGATGGTGAAAGGAGAGAAAGACCCTTCCTGTTTCACTTAACCAACTGTCTATTTCATAAATCCTATCACTACTGTTATAAGTAGTCCTACAGGATAAAATCCTATGATAAAAACGCACTGGGTGTTTAGTATATTCTTGTTTTTCACTTTTAAACAGATTTTGGGAATCATTGGCTCAACTCTGCTAAACAGAGACAGACCCATAACTTCACAGTAATTACTTGTTGTTTATTTGTACTTTTTTAAATGAACAAAGGATTCTGGCAGGTGGTTGGTGTTTAACCTAAATGCTTTCAGACTTCAAGAAGTGTTTTTCTAATCTTCTCCAACAGTAGATTCTCTGTTTTTACATGGCAATAATCCATTACGTTAACCAAATGTATTTATTTCCTCTTCCACAGAATACTAATCCATTGAAAAAAGATTCCAACAAATACACTATTTATTATTGTTTGAGTAAAGATTGCCAATAACTACAGTGTCCAGCTGATATGGATATGGTTTGGCTTTATATATATTTTTACCACCGACAAAGTAGGACAGTTGGAAACCAGAAACATATTTAGGCATGATTGATTTTGTGTCTTTTAAACGATTTGCTAATAAGAAAGACTATTTTGCCAGCTTTATTCTTTTAAGGTTCCCTGGGGAGTTCTTGACCTCTAGGAGTGCTATAGAGCTGATGTGATCCATACACAGTCCTCCTAAAGTACAAATGATTAGGATCGATAGGTGGCGCTAACACACGAATATATGCTGCAAGATGAAGAAGAAGAAGACAGCAAGCTATGTAAATTAAAGTGTTTTTTACAATGAAGAAAATTAATCCAACGCGTGTGTAGACCTCAAGGAGTAACGTGTTTGATGAGTAACACTGAAAGTAAATTAACATTTTGGTTTGTTTCCAAGCACGTCAGAATACACTGACTGACTGGTGTTTCAGGTTGCTGGCAGGTGCGTTTGGTGGCTTATGAATATGTTTACACTTCTGCCTAGAAACAGTGAACAGCCAGGTTAATGTACAGTCAGTGAGTCTGCATTTTGGATTAATTGTGGACTTTAGGAACACAGATTTGTGATAATGTATTTTTAGGAAAATGTAAGTTCACTTACTAAGAGAACCTTGAGTCTCACATAAGCTGCATGATTGTATTAAAATCTTCCTATCACAACAGTTAAGGGAAATATTATATTTTCCTTTGTTTTACTCACACACATTTCTGAAAACACAAGACCCTGATGAAAAAAGTATTCATTTTGTTTGCATTTTATATTTATCAGACTGGAGGTTACCTATTATTCTGAGGTAATTGTTCTGCCTTTTGAGTAGACGTGTGCTAACTTCAATGTTAGGACAAAACAGTTCAATACATTCACATTTCCTGAATACTGAAGGCTTAGTGCCACAAAGCTGCAGCCACACTCAGGCCCCCCTGAGAATCAGCTGTTTGTTTCAAGGTGTGGCACCCAGAGCAAGTCCATTTACTCCTTTATTCTTATAGTGTAAAACAAACATACAGTAAAATTAAACTAAACTTTAAAAAAACAGGGCCAGTTCTTCCTCTAATCTCTTAAGTAATTAATCACACTGACAAAATGATATCTTTGTTCCTCTTTGTCCTCTGAATTTTACACAGTTATCAGGTTGTGATGTTTTGGTGGAAAATACCACTAAATGCCTGGAGTTTTCCGAGTTTAGGATTCAGTGACTGTACTCCTCTGCAGCAGAGAGAAACCAGCAATTCAAGATGAGGCGGCTTTGTTGACACTGTCACTAAACACCTGTTGTTCCATCAACAAGTTGCGCCGCAGCGGTTGCTTTTCACTTCAAATACGGATGAAAAATCACCAGCAGTTGAAAAATTTTCGGAGGATTTGCTGATGTGGTTTGTGTCCTCAGTGGGTGGAGGGACATGTTGCTATCGTTCCTTGAATGCAGCCACTGAGAGTTGCCCAAGTTTCATCTTACAGCAAATCACCTGGGAGAAAAGAGCAGAAGTTGGTTATAAAGAAATACGTTCTTCATGGGGAGCATGATTTAAGAGCGTATTTAAGGGAGGGTTAGTGATAAACAATGAGAGACTGAAGTTATCTGATACATTTACAGAAAAAAAATGTTCAAATATACGAGAAAAAACTGTTTACTATTTTAAGTATAATCTCAGAGAACAAGTTTATTCTCATAAATGCACCACTTTGAATTCAGCAATCGTATTTTCCTCATAATGTTACCTCCCTACCCTACTCCCTATCCTATTTAAACCTAAAATGGATCTTATGTGCTTTCATACAAAACCATCTGGAGCACTTTTTTACATTTTTGCCCTGAGTTGGATAGAACAACCAACCCTACAACTCATACCCGACCTTCTATATAACCCAACCTAAAGCCACAC